GTCCAAGATTTTGCTCAGTTGGATTTTGGTACATACTTGGGATGGGAAATAAGCCTGGAAAATTATGTCTGAATCAAATCCCTGAATATCAAGCTAAGGAATTTGAAATATACAGAAGCCTTGAAGAATTGCTTTTTCAATGTTTTCACTGCTTGGGTATGCTGCAGCTAAATGCAGTCAATGTTTATTTATCTGAATACTTAAAAATTAAAAGATGGTCTGTCAAGAACCTTTGAATCATTCTCTTTTGGGGCCTACCTGCCTTGTGGCCTTAGCCAGATTCCTGCTTCTTAGGATGGAGGGAGAGGGAGAAAGGAAAGGAGATAAAGCTAAAGCTCATTTAGTTGTTGTGTTTTGAGATATGTCATAGACAGAGAGGTCAATATTAATTTATTACAATCAGAATTATATTGCTTTTAGCCAAAGGTTGTTTTAAGACAGGCAAAGAATAGGCTAATTTAATTATGAAAGTAAGTTATAAAGGACAAGGTAGTACAAAATGAGAGTGCATTTCTGAGTGAAAATTCAAGTAACATTGAAAATTAGCTTTATGAGAAGAGTAATGTGATAAATGTATCACCATAATATATTAACCAATGTCTAAAGTAATTTTTGCTCTGAATTTTAAAGTGCAAATGCAATTTCTAAGTATAATGGGGATTTTGAAACACATATAAACATATATGGATTGTATTTATCAAGTTTTCTCTTGGTCTGAGCAACCCTCAAATGCTACAATACTGTTAACTACAGTAAAATAATACACAAACTAGATTCAGAGAAAGAGTTTCAACTATTTTCCACATGCCTTCACTAATAAATAAAGAGGAAATGTAGACTATTGCTACCAGCACTTAAAATTATAATATGCGAACATGGAAATGCTTGTTATAAGGTCCCAAACTGCATATATCTGTCAAATTTGTTACTTATTGTATTTCTGTTCCCATGATGTCTCTCTAGCTTTCTTTAAATGTGAGATGATTGTTTAATTAAGGGATAATCATTTCCCAGTGTGACTTATTCACACATGATATAATTTTTATCAATCCATGATGTACCTACCATATCCTCAGAGACCAAAAGGTGATTGGGCTAAATGGATACATTGATTTGATTAAGTGATAGAATTGTAGACAAATTTTGCCCACAATTTTTGCAATTTTTTTATAATAAGGTAAAATGCCTGAAAAAGTGTTCATGAATTGATTACCTTAATACATTGTATTCTAAGAAACATTTTGCTATGACGCTAGTGAATAATAAATATTAAATGATAATAGTACTTTATATCTGCCATCTCATTTCTTTTTTTAAAAATATATATTTTATTGATTTTTTACAGAGAGGAAGGGAGAGAAATAGAGAGCTAGAAATGTCAATGAGAGAGAAACATCAACCAGCAGCCTCTTGCACACCCCCTACCGGGGATGTGCCCGCAACCAATGTACATGCCCTTGACCAGAATCGAACCTGGGACCTTTCAGTCCGCAGATAGACGCTCTACCATTGAGCCAAACCGGTTTCAGCTGCCATCTCATTTCATCAGTGCAAAATTAGCAGCCACAGTGGGAACCACCATTTGGGAGGTGTTTTAAACAGCACCATTAAATTCCTTCTGGAATTTGATATGCACAAGTTATAAGAAAAGATTTGGAGAGAATGGCCCATTTAAAAGGAAACAAAGTGTCCCAGTTTGGCCACAAACAGCCGTCCTTGAGAAGTGCGGCTTTCCCAGTGGGAAAAGTGACACTTAAATCTGTTCTCTGCAGTAGTTCTCATTATTTTACCCAGACCAGGCACTCTGGTCTCACCAAGCCCAGCCATCATGTTGACTTGGATCATCTCCAGTTTTCTCCTTAAAACTGTTGCTGAAACCACAGGAAGGGCCCAGTGAAATCATTCAGCATGCTCACAAGCATGTCAAACTTGCTGCCAGTGGGCCACATGCCTCATTTAAATAAACGCAGCATGCAGCCCACTGGCCAGAGTGTGACATGCTTGCGAAGTAACCGTGTGTGCCTGCATGTATCTGCCTGTGCAAGCCTCCCTGCTCAGAGCCTAATTTAGGATGTGTTTCGAGCAATAGATACTTTTCAAAATAGCCTTTGAAAATCTTCAAGTGTCTTGGTTGAAAAAAAAACTATATGGGCCTCCCGTGCATGTATCCCCAATAGCACCTGCTCACCTCAGTACTAGAATGACTTAGAGTTCACTGTTCACATGCCTGCTTCCTCTCCCCACATTGCCAAATTCTGGGGAGGGCCTGCCTATGCATTCCTGTCTCTGTAGCCCTGCATCCAGCACAGTACTGAGAAGGCTTTTAGTAAATATTTGTTGTATCAGTGAGTAAGAAGAGTAGAAAAGCATAAATTTGGAGGCAAGCATATATGGAATCCAATCTTGGCTCTGTCTACTCTGTGATTTGGGGTGTGTCTTAACCTTTCTGAGCCTTAAGTTTCCTAAAAACAGGATACAGTAGCCAGTTTATCAGTAGCTGGCACACTAATAATAAGTAATGAATGAAAAGCATATTTTAGATTCTTAAGTGCTCTTTGGTTGGTAGTCTATTAACGTAACAGATCTATGCTGTGTATTGATTATGCACCATCAGACCTGTGCTAGGTGCTGAGAGCTACAGAGATGAAGAGAGACAGGCTTCTCCCTTCAGGATGTGAATAGTCCAACATGGTGCTTTCTCTTCTAAGTTATTTTTTAGGGGGTGGGGAGCAGGGAGCTATCAGGCTTAAATTTAGGTGGATTACTTATTAAAAACATTGATTGGCTTCTAACTCCTTCATTTTTCTGCATGGAACCCTCCACTCTAAGAATGAGAGAGCGCCCAGTTCCCACTGCTCGTGTTCTTCATGGTACACTGCCAACAGTTTTGCCAAGTTCTTATTCTCTGCTGCATTGCTAGTACTCAAGAATATTTCAGAATTATGGATGAGATGATGTCATATCCCAGCAGAATAAGAATCAGGAAAACCTCCCACCCTAAAATTAGAATGTAGCAGACTTTGTTATTGTAATTAGAAACTATTCTTTATAGTTAATTGAAACCATCCACAGAGAGTGAATTCAGATGTTTTCTGGGGCACTTAAAAGTGTATCCGATGGGACTCGGTGCTCACTGCTAGAAGTGAGATGATTAGAAGACTTATAGGGTTAGTTAGAACGATGAACTCCTTTCCAAACATTCTTCAAATCTGCCTTAAGCAAAAGAAGGAAAATGGTTCCTCAAAGAGAGTCCCCAGTGTTTGCTCATGTTTCTATGTTAATGGTAGAAAATCCCAGCACATGTAAATGTCTTTAAAACCTATGCGTCTTTGATATTAAAATAATTAATGTTTGACAATGTTATGGTGTAAAGTAGGTTTTCCCCTATGTAGATTGTCTCTTCAATGGTAGAAAAGATGTGTGTGTGTGTGTGTGTGTGTGTGCATGTGTGAGTATGCATATCCACAAGTGTGTGTGTGAGTGTGTGTGTGTGTGTGTGTACATGTGTGAGTATGCATATCCACAAGTGTGTGTGTGTGGGGGGGGGGCATGCATTGTTTATGGATTCACAGTTCCTAAGCCCCAAATGGAAAATATTTCTAACTAGTAAGCATTCTCTCTAAATGGTTTAAAATTAAGTGCTGCGGTGATAAATCATTGATCACAAGTGTCATTATTAGTGACCTCCTTTTCTTTAGCTAGGACAGAAGTTTCTTTCATTAAATATTTTAAGTTTTTATCATGAAGAAAACATTGTGCTTGGAGAGAAGCAGAAGTACAGCTAGACTCTGGACTTTTGGAAGTTTGGATGTTTGATTTCCATTAAAAGTAACATGAATCTTTTAAGATTCACATTTTGAAGAGCATTGGAGAGGAGTCAGAAGGAAAGTAGGGATGTCAGTGACATGAATCCAGGTTTAGTTCCAGGTCCCATTTTCTTATCCTCTACAAGGTTTTAGTTACCATCTAAAATATGGGTCACTGCGTATACACTGGTTCTCAACCTTTCTAATGCTGCGACCCTTTAATACAGCTCCTCATGTTGTGGTGACCCCCAACCATAAAATTATTTTTGTTGCTACTACATAACTGTAATTTTGCTACTGTTATGAATAATAATGTAAATATCTGTGCTTACGGATGGTCTTAGGTGACCCTGCTAGTGGTTCTCAACCTGTGGGTTGCACCTCCCTCTCCCTCTAATATCTACATTAGAAATGGTCTAGGTTCAAATGTGTATTTCTAGCTCTGGTGGAAGACTGTTGGATAAGCAGAGTAGACTTCAGCATAGGAAGTGATACCAAGGGAGTTTGAACAGAGCTCTTGAATGCAGAGGAGGTCATAGCTAAAACAATCCCCAGCAGAATAAGAAAAGGCCTCACAGAGGAGGAGGCATTTGAAGTGGGATGAACTAGGAAAGCATGGTGGGTTTTGCCAGGTAGAAACAAACGGGGAGGGGCATTTAAGTGGCTGGAACATCATGTGTGAAGTCTCAGAGCTGTAAAAGGGCATGGCAGACTGGTGAGTGACATTAGCCCTGCAGTCCCAGAGCTGTAAAAGGGCATGGCAGACTGGTGAATGACATTAGCCCTGTGGCAAAGAGGATGCCTGAGAAGGGGGATGAAGGAGGCAATAGGAGATGGGAAAAGACAAGTACGTTAGTGCTATTTTTTAAAGGGTCTGGTGTACTTGACTCAGGCTGGGGGCTGCCAGAATCACTGGACCACTCTTAATAGCTCTGGATTGAAAAACAGTATATGAGGAAATGCTTTATATTGAAAGTCTAATGGTGTATTAGGAAAGCAGTGACCAAGCCAGTGAGAGGAATGATCTTCTGAACCCAAGAAACATAAGCATGGCTGTGGTCCTGAGGGAGGTGAATTGGGATCTAGGCCTCCAGGGAAGAGCTGGCCAGGCTTGGCATAGGGAGACTGAGTCCTGAGCCTGGCTCCACGCTGGCGTGTTCTGCCCTGACAGCAGTCTGGATTTGTGTTTTGCAGTTCCCTGGAGAACGGGAGACCACCCGATCCTGCAGACTGGGCCGTGGTGGATGTCGTCAATTACTTCCGGACAGCGGGGTTTGAGGAGCAAGCTAATGCTTTTCAAGAACAGGTAACTGTCTAGAGAAACACATGATGAACACAATCACCACCCTCCCCACAGAAGCAGAAGGAAGTGAGGAGGAAGAGGACCAGAGAGTACTAAGGGATCCTTGAGGCTCTCTGTGTGTCCTCCATACCAGGTCCTAATCTTATCAGGTCTTAACAATCCCAGGAGTGTGGGAAAGGGGAGAAAAAGGTGACAAGCTAAAAGTCCAAGAGGAATACCCAGACCCGGAGACTGTCACAGCTGCAGAGAGGAGGGCTAAAGCTCATTTACATCTGCATATTCTGAAAGATGCAACAGCCCTACTTCCAATACAAACACATTAGAAAGCAGAAAACAGAAAAGAATGAAAAAGGAGAGACAAATCTCACAAAGAGGCATGCAGCCCCGTCTACTGCTGGCCTTCGCACCAACTGATTTTAAGAACCCCCTCCAATTTGCTTTCCAATGCTTAGCGAAGTAGAGTGAAAAGAGCACATGATTTAGTTAAATCCTGGTTCTTCTCACACTGTGTAACCTGGGCAGGTTACTACATCTCTGAGTCTTGGTTTCACATTTACAACATGAAGCTATCAATGCCTCACTTAATGGTGTGTGTGTGTGTGTGTGTGTGTGTGTGTGTGTATTTAAGGACAATGTATGCACAGTGCCTAGGAGAGGCCCTAATAGTGCTGATGCCCACAAATGTTAATTCCCTTCCCTTAGGTCCAGGGTTGGTATTGGGAAGAGAGAGAGAAGCAGAGGTCCCTCCTGATGGTCTTGGTGATCACTGGTCCTATTTTTCAGATCTATAGGAATAGTGCTCGAGGGGCTTTGCTAAGAGGAAGCAAATTGGGGAAGCAGGTGTGGTCCACACCAGGCCAGATATCTCCCTATCAATAAAGGCTGCCATTTTCCCAGCATTAAATCTTAGGTCCTATCTAATAAAGAGGCAATATGCTAATTGACCATCACACCCTCACAAGATGACAACACCCGCAGCCAATAAAGAAGGAATATGCTAATTAACTGTCATGCCTTCACAAGATGGCAGTGCCCAGTCTCCTCATCTCTGCCTCATCCAGCTGGACTCCCCCAGTCCCCTCAGTCCCACCTCATTCAGCCTTAGCCCCCCAGGCCCTTCAGCCCCGTCTCATCCAGCCAGAGTCCCCCAATCCCCTCAGCCACCTCACCCAGTCCCCTGTACAGCATCCAGCCACAAGATGGCAGTGCCCAGTCCCCTGCATCATCCAGCCCAAGTACCCCAGTCCCCTCAATTGGGGGCTATTGGGCTGGCAGGGAAGGAAAATTAAGTATGACCATGCCGTCAGGGGAGCAGTTAGGCATCAATCAGGCTGGCAGTGGAGTGGTTAGGAGGTGATCAGGCTGATAGGCAGAAGAAGTTAGGGACAATCAGGCAGGCATGCAGGCAGGTGAGCAGTTAGGAGCCAGCAGTCCTGGATTGTGAGAGGGATGTCTAACTGCTGATCCCTATGGGATCAGGCCTAAACCAGCAGCTGGACATCCCACAAGGGGTCCCAGATTGGAGAGGGTGCAGGCTGGGCTGAGAAATACCTCCTTCCGTGCATGAATTTTGTGCACTGGACCTCTAATTATAATACAATCGAGAATATTATGAACTGAAGAATGTATCTGGCTGCTTCTTCCATATCCTTTTAGCCCTTTCTTCTCTCAAGTTGGGTTTAGATAGCTGAACTCTTTAAATATCATATATGCTAACCTCTAGATTTTCTTCAACCAGTATTTCTTTTAACGTAATCCTTATTTTTTTTAAATTCAGAACATTTGCCAAAATAGCAGATTGAGTCACTTCACACCCACCAGAATAACTAAAATTAGAAAGATTGATAAACCCAAATGTTGATGAAGTTGTGGAGCAACCACACCCTGTTACACTGTTTATGCGAGTGCAACATAAACACTCATACATCTATGCCATGACCCAGCAGTTTCATTCCTATTTACCAGAAAGAAATGAAAACATATGTCCACAAAAGATTTGTATAAAGTTGTTCTTAGTAGATTTATTTATAATAGCCTGGAAACTGGACTATTATAAATAAAATAAAACTTAGTAGATTTATTTATAATAGCACTGGAAACTGAAGTGCCATTAATAAGATAATGCATATACAAACTCTATAGTCATACAAAGGTGTACAATAATGGCATATTACTTGGTAATCAAAGAAATGAACTACTGATGAATATAAATTTGGGTGAGTCTCAAAAGATTATGCTGAAAGAAGCTTTACACAAAAGAGTTCATACTGAATCATTCCTGTCTCAGTCTGTCTGTGCTGCTATAACAAAAATACAATAAATGGAGTGGCTTATAAACAACAAAAATTTATTTCTCTCAGTTCTGGAGGCTGGGAAGTCCAAGGTTAAGGTGACTGCAGATTTTGTGTTTGGTGAATGCTCACTTTCTGACAGTGAGCATTGCTATGTTTTCACAGGGAGGACAGAGTGAGAGCTCTCTGGGACCTTCTTTTTTTTTTTTTTTTTTTTAAATATATTTTATTGACTTTATACAGAGAGGAACGGAGAGAAATAGAGAGTTAGAAACATCGATGAGAGAGAGTCATCGATCAGCTGCCTCTTGCACACCCCCTACTGGGGATATGCCCGCAACCAAGGTACATGCCCTTGACCGGAATCGAACCCAGGACCCTTCAGTCCCCAAGCCGACGCTCTATCCATTGAGCCAAACCGGTCCTGGCTGGGACCTTCTTTATAAGAACAGAAATCCTATTCATGAGGACTCTGCCCTCAAGACCTGTCACCTCTCAAAGGCCCTACCTATTGATATCATTACTAATACCCTATTACCCCACGGGATTATGTTTTAACATATGAATTGGATGGGAGGGGACAAATATTCAGGCCATAGCAGTTCCATTTAGATAAAGGTTAAAACTGGGAAAATGGGTCAGTGGTAGAAAAAAATCAGAACTGTGGTTGCCTCTGGATAGGTGGGAGAGGATGGAGGATGGAGCACGAGGGAACTTTCTGGGTCATCATAGTTTCTATGTATTAAAAAGAGTTTAGATTATAGGTGTATGCATTGTCACTCATATGCACAAGTATATACAAATGATTCAGATTTGTGCATTATATAACCCTTAAATTTTACCTCAAAAAGAAAAGAATTACTTGAAAAATTCAACAATTAATGGCATACAAACTGAAGTATTTAGTTTACAATTTATTGATGTATATAACTTACTTTGAAATGTGTCAAAATATGGATTGACAGTTGGATAGAGGGATGAGTAGATGGTTAATAAGTAGAGAAAATGTTAATTATAAATCTAGGTGGTGAGAATATGGATGTTCATTATAATATACTTGCAATTTTTCTTTATGTTTGAAGTTTTTTGTCATAAAATTGTGGGGAAAATAGCTCAGGTTGGAAAGTGGAAGACTGATCAACTGGAACATAAATTATTTTGGTTTGAATGGTAGAAAGTCCACTTGTATCAATGCAGTTAAGTAAATTTGAACAATATTGCAAAAGGTTAACAAAACAAGCAAACAAAACAAGGACTTAGCTAAAAAAGGTACCTTGGCCAGATTCTCTGCTTCTCAAAAGCATTTTTCAGAATAAGCTTCTACTCAGACTTTCTTAGCAGCATATGTCCCAGATTGAAATGGGGGTATTCTTTGGGCCTCCTGGATTCTGTACAAGACCTCAGAAATGTAGTTGGCTGGCTTTGAGGCTGGCTCAGGAGCAGTCCCTCTCTCCCAGGGATGACATCACTATGGCTCTAGAGACACTGAGAGGCAAAAGGAACAGACTAAAGAATTTCATTCAGAAGTCCTTCAAGTGGGAGGAAGGAGCTTCATCTTGCTACTGTGTTGAACCCGCTAATTCAGGAGCCTATGAAAAGAATTCCCAGGGGACTGGAGTTTTGCAATCATGGTACAGAAGCTGGAGTTCCTTCATTCTTATGGAAGGGCGGTTGGGTAGGAAAGAGTCTATTTTGAATTATTCTCCAGAAGTGATCCAAGTCTTTCTTCTGCTGTGAAATTCTCATTGCCTTTCCTCTGCTCATTGAAAGAGGGTGAAAACGGAGTAACTGAGCAGGCTCAGGCTGATAAGACAAGTTGCTGCTGTGATTTTCATGAGAACTGAGAGTTAAGATCCTCCACCACATTAACCTCCCTCTCCCATCTTCATGCTTCAGAGGCCTTCAGTGCTTCACCTCCAGGGACCTTCATGGCAATGAACTTCAAGCAGTCAGCAGTGCCTCACCAGGTTCCTTCTGGATGGGAAAACTGCAGGCCACCCCCAGCCCAAACACATGACCTTCCCAGGCACATCTTCTAGGTCACAGCAGGCAGATCCTTAAATATCCTCAGGGAAGGCTTTGCCCTTCCTTAAATGTAAGCAAGAACACATGGAGAGCATTTCCTAAACCACCTCAGAAAAGGCCAAGTCCAGAAAGGGTAGCACAGTTGCCAGTGATGTGATGATGTGGGAGCTTAGTTTCATGGCTATATCTTATGGGATGAATGTTTGTGACACCCTCCCCCTCCTGCAAGATGTGTGTGTTGAAACCTTAAATCCAATGTGATGGCATTAGGGGCTTTGGGGAGATAATTAGATTTAGATGGGGTCATGAAGATGTAACCCTTATAATGGAATTAGTGCCCTCAGAAGAAGGGAACAGAAAGCTTGCTCCTTCTTTCTGCCATGGGAGGCCACAGTAAGATGGTGGCTATCTGCAAGCTAGGAAAAGTGTCCTCCACAAGGACATAACCATGTTGCCACTGTGATCTTGAACTTCTAGCCTCCAGAACTATAAAAAAATAAGTTCCTATTGTTTAAACTACCCAGTTTGTGGTGTCTTGTTATAGCAGTCTGCACTGACACTGATACCAGACATGTCTCCACTCAGATGGGCTGACTTTAAGGAGAGTGTCTGTCTTCATGGTGTGGTCTCACAGTATATAACTAGATGCTGGGTTGCCTTAGCAACTAGATTTGATGTAGTTTTCTA